CCAAGTTTGTCTTACCCGCATATTTTGATGTGGAAGGCGAGGGTCTGTCTTTATTCTTTTTCCAGACAGCACTCTTGATCACTTCTGACTTTGATGGTTGTGACCGTGCAGTTCTTTATCTCACTATCACACAGATGCAGAAGCTATCGCTTTCTCTTTGTTTTAAAGAAAATCCTCAAGCACCTACAGTATATTTCATTTGGTATCACAATTCATTTAGTCTGGTATAGCAAAATATCTTTCACTTAGCTACAAAAGCAAACCACAATGTGAATCTTGTTGCAGCTCCCAGGCAGTAAAGATTAGCTTTTAAGCTTTCACCTGACCTCTGGTTTTGCAAGAGCAGGCAAGGTCAGTTAGTGCGACTCAGCTGAGGTGCAATAACTCAGTCACATGCCTGAGCTCTCAGATTGTTTACTGTTCAGCTTTCTTTTGTTCGTATTTTCTGATGTTTGCTAAAATATGTCTCCACGGAGTAAAGAAACAGTACTTTCTATGGAAATTTTAGAAAGATCAGGCAGTATGTCAGGTATAATGAAGTCTTTGGCTGATACATGTCTTAAAATTATCTTGAAGTTCAGCCTGCCAGCAGTTACTAAAATCCACCACAGGAGAACTCCAACAAGTCTACATCTGATCTCCAACAGAAAGGTAGTAGGTCTCTAATTATAATCGTTGCCTTTGGTCCAGTAGTTGATAACCTGCAAGTTTGTGCCTTAGCATGAGTAGCTTGGAAGTTTTTAGTGATTAGCCGTGACTGATATTTAAAAGGAAATCCTAGATTTTCAGATTCCTTGGGGGCTTGTCACCTATACCATACAAAATGTACATTTCCTGTCGTAGTGGAAATGCTAAGTCATGGCCTGAACCAGTGATTGAGCACCTGGTGGGAAGGCAGGGCCACTCCAGGAGAGCTGAGCTGCATGCAGTGCATTTGAGAGACTGGAAGGGCTGGAGCCAGGATCCACCTCTTCCCAGACCTCCCTTAAGTGTTGGCAGTGGAGGTGAGGGTATCTTGCTTCACATCTCTGTGTACATGAGGTCTTCTGAATGCTAGTGGCTTCTGTCCCTTATTTGTGTCCCTGACTGTTGTATTTGATACAATACAATCAAAAGTGAGCCAATCCTCACTTGCTGGTTTTCTGAAATTGAAGCTCGCACATGAAATGTATATTTTTCTCTGTATTGCGCTGCAGAATTTCAGCCGTTCATACATTTTTTTTTTTTTTAAAGCTAATGTCTTTAGTGTGTTTGTTCTGTCTTCAAACAGTAGGCCTTACTGATAAGTGTCTACATCTTGGTCACCATGACTAGCTTTTTGGAAATAAAAGGAAATATATGTTAAGTTTTTATGTTTAAATTAACTGCTATAGGAAACTGAACATATAGTAAAAAAAACCTGACTACAAACACTTAAACCCATAAACTTCAAAACTAGTTGTTAAGAAACTAGACTTCAGACTTTATAGCATATCTGATATAAATTGGGAAGAATTAGTGAGGTTTGGTAACGTCAGCCATATGAAAAATTTCCTTTCTTCTGTAGGGCCAAAGCAAATCACCTTACTGTTTTCACTCTAATTAGGGTACATATCTAATGTACTTGATGGCTTCTGCAAAATACACAGATCTCATTTTAAAGTTGTGAGGAAACCTGTGTTGCAGGTGACTTCTGAATCTTGTGATCTCACACTGATTGCAGCTACACATAAGGTTATGAATATGCTCATATCTGCTTAATAATTCAAGCTGTTTCTTCTGCGCTATGCCTTTATTTCTGTAAGTTCAAATGGAAATCTGAAAGGAGCACCTGAGTATCAAACACTTACTAGTGCAATAATAAATGTATTCTTGTTGCTGTTGCTTAAGGTGGTGACTTTCTGTATGTAGATCTGAATTGTGACTCACGTGTTCAACCTGGGAAATAATTCAGTTTTTCTTATTGCATACAGGTTTTTCTTTCTGCGTATATTTGTGTGCTTTTCAGCAGATAAGACTTGCCTTTGGGTTCCTTTAAAAAACACAGTTGTAATGTTCAGTAATAAAGGCTAGTTCATGATTCACCAAGAATCTAAAATGCTGACTTTATTCATTACAATTGTATAAACATGCACAAAGAAAAGAAATATTTGCTTCCCTGAAGTAATGGGATGAACAGGGATATGAATTCAGCTTTGAACTTTCCTTGCTTGTGTACCACTAGCTATCAGAGTTCTATTCCAGTGGATGTAGCACATTCCTTTTCAAAAAGTATTCATGTCTTGTTTATGAACATTCTTTGTTGTTTTTCTTGGACAGTCAGCCATCTGGTGTTTGATTGTTTTGTGAGAGAAAAAACAAGTTCATCTGCATAGGCATGGACAAGGATGAAAAGTAAATGTGGTTGTTATGAATAAGAACAGTTGAATTCAATGTAGCGAGTAACATTAGGTAAATATAACAGCAGACATAGTAATCTGCATATACACTTCACCAAACAGTTTGGTTTACATAGGGTATGTTTAACCTGCTATTTCTTTGCCTTATAGCCCTTTTCAAGGGAGTCACTAAAGCTATGGCTTGCGAAATCAGCTACAGTTTAATTGTGCCACCTGCATTTCGGTGCTACATCTGATAAACCTGTAGGGGTTTATGTTGCAGGAGTAGCTGGATGATTGTGGGTTGGAAAAAATGTTTTCTTTCTGACTGTAAGATAAGCTTAAGTTGAACAGTTGTACAGTGTGCATCTGGGAGTTGGCATTAGTGACCCTTGGGGGTCCCTTCCATCTTGGGAGGTTCAATTTCACATGCAAACCTGTAGAGGTATGAATTGAAAGTTTTATCTTTGTGTGTCTATGTGCTCTTGCTTTTTTTTCCTGTTTGTATGTGCATTTGTGCTCGTCAAAACAGAAATATGCAAGTTGATAATACACAACAATAATAATAGGTAACAATATATAACATTTTAAATGAACTTAAAATTACTTGGGTAGAACAAACGTACATCCTTTATATCTATTGAAGAATTTTTAAAATGTAACAACAACAACAACAAAAAAAAAACAACAAAAAAAGACACCTGGAGAAAAAAAAGCAAACATACAAACAAACAAAAAAATCCATTGTTTTTTGTACGTTTCATGAGAAAAACAAAATTCAAAATACGTAACGTAAGATGATATTATAAATTTAAGAACTTAATTTTGGTATTTGAAACTTTTTTTCTCACTGTAGTGACTAATTCCGAAATGGTGGATTCAATACATGTAGTGAAAATGCGGAGTCATCACCTGAAGCAGTGATTGAGCACCTGGTGGGAAGGCAGAGCCAACCTAGGGCAGCTCAGGTGCAAGCAATGCACTGAATGCCTGGAAGGGATGGAGCCAGCACCCACCTCTTCTCAGACCTCACTAAAGGGCTGGCAGTGGAGGTGAGGACATCTCATCTGGAGATCCTTGCATACCTGAGGACCTTGCAAGCCTTCTAAAGGTAAGCAGTTTCTTTCTCTTATTTCTGTGCCTACTGCAATCGCATTTAAGCAGATCCTTGCTTACTGTAGCTGAAGACCTTGTTGCTCTGCCATCTCATGCTTCCTATTATGTTGTAATATATAAATTGCTTATGCTAAAAAAAATTACTGAAGTGCTTTTTAGACCTTTTTAGGAGTTAACACTTTGCATAGTGATGTATGCTCTGAGCATACTGCATTTCCAATTGGCTCTGCAATTGAAATCACTGAATGCAGGTGACCACTTCTTATGTGAACTCAGGAAAGAAGCTAAGACTTAAGGATTGAAATCAGTTTTTTTTTTTTGTTTTTTTTTTTTTAACCTATTCAAAATACAAACAAGCAAAATAACCCCAACAACCAGAAAACCAAACCTACAACTTTTCTGTACAAGTTGCTTCTACCAACTGCAGATGTGGCACTGGAAAGTTGCTTACATCTTGTAGATACATTAAAATTGCTTGTGGACAAATACATGTGGAAGCAAAAAGCCAAAGTAAACCTCTGCAACTCCTAGAGGGAAAAGCATCTTATCTACATGAGAAAATATCATTTTCAATTTGAATACGTGCACAGGAAATTACACTGACACTTTGCCTTCTAATCTTCTGTTATGGTAAATGGGCAGTGATAGTGGAAGCAGTTTAGGACTAGGCCTTTAAAGTAAAAATCAACAGGGCACACTCATGAAAAAAGGAATCTTTAGTGATATTGAGACAGAGAGAGTCCCTCTGGCACGAATCGTTAAAGCACAGTTAAAAGTGCGCAGTGTTCTTATGCCCTTTTTTTGGTACTTCTGTGAGATTGGCAATAGGTTTGTTTAACTCTCTGGTCGAAGAAAGCTACTTTTGTGGTCTTATTCTAGATGTGAAGGAAATGGATGGGGTTGTATTGTAAATATAGCATGAAAAAAACGAACAGAATTTATGTTTTAAGGAGAATGATCCAGTGGCTCGCTTGCAAATTGTTGGAGTAAATTCCCTGGGAAGAACACAGAGTCCAAGTTATTAAAGGCCTTACAAATAGTTGAAGCAGACTTATTCAGTGATGTTTCCTTCTGTTCTCTTTCCTTGTGTTTGCACACAGTCAGCAAATCAACATCACTACTGACATCTGCAAATTACAGATATTTTACCATTCTTATATTTCTCAAGTTAGAAGTCTTGAAGCTTTGCCACTCCTTGTGAATAAACCTCAATTTCAAAATGTGCCAATGCTTTTAGTCTCTTTTTCATGTGATGTGAAATAACCTCACGACACTCATCCATGCAGGGCCTGCTTCTTCTCAAAATTAGGCCATCTATGGATTTATTATGGAGTTTGGATTTCCCAGGCAGCGAGGTTCGGAGACTGCCTAACCTGAGTTCTTGAGGGTTGTTGATTGATAAAACCATCTTGAATATGGAATAATAATGAAGTGTGCTGTACTCTACACACTGTTACACAGAGAGAACCTTCAGGAATGCCTTTACTGAAAGAGCAAGCTTAATTCATATTTATGTCAAAAGCCTTTATTTGTTAAGTCAAGATTACACATCCTTTTACAGTAAGGATCTCAAAGCTTTCCAGGGGTGGTTAATACTTTATTTTGCATGTGTAACTTCACAAATGAGGAATAAAAGGCTAAATAATGCAATATGCCTTTCACCTATGGTCACACAGCAAATCATATCCAGCCCTCCTTGTTCTAAGTCTGTCTTTAACTGTTCCTTGTGGCGTCTACAACATGAAATTAATGCTGTAGTCATTAAGACTGTTTAGAATGATATTTTCTCTTGCTGAAATCAGACCAATATTATTGTAATTTCTCAGTCCATACTCTTTTAGCTGTGTTCTGGAACTCCTTTACAAAACAATTCCCTGATTTTTGTTCTGTGCAAGCGCCTTTTAAGCAGATCAGCACTTTCAGTGTAAAGAACAAAATGGGTTCTCTATGGATTGCTTTTCTAGTACTTTTTTTTTGTGTAATGAACATCCAGTTAAAATCTGGATGCTAAAGCCAAAATCTGTATTTTCCTAGGTTCCAGCGCGTGTATTTTGTTTTTTGTTGGATGGTTGTGTTTGGTTTTTTTTGAAGCAAATGAAGCTGTATTTCTGTGGAGTTCCTAGCAAAGGGGAGCAAGTGATGTGCACTCACTTGCACTACTTGGGCTCATCTTGTCCACACTTTCTGTACGGATATTTTGCTGGAGTCAGAGGATAGGAAAGAAAGACTTAGCTGTGAACAATAGAAATGTTTGGGAATATTGAAAAAGTACCTCAGAGCTAGATGCTGACAGTGGAAAGAAAGCAATTACTGCTGAGTAAAACAATTAAACAGCATGTGGTTCAGAACAGATACGGGAATGTTCGCTCCTACAAATAAACAGTAATACACTGAAAAAAGTTGCAAAGTGGCAAATTGAAGCTGATAAGTGAGAATATCTATCCACAATTAATGTGTTTGTTAGACCAAACGTGGCCTGGGCAGCTATGCAGGCAATAAAAATTTTGAAAAAAATTTCACAAAAAAATTTTTGTGGAAATAGGCTAGAAAATCAGTTTTTAGAAATAGCCTTGATATGGTGTGCAGGAAGATTGTGTGTTAAACATAGGCCATGTGTTTGCAAGGATGTATACTGCTTTGCTTTGCAAAATGGTAAATCTTTGCTGTTAGATCACTATAGATAGCTCCTCCAGTACCATGTGATTTTTTTTTTTTTTTTTACAGCCCTTTTGATAAAGATTTCTTTTTTACAGTGAACTGAGATACCAAAGGCAGTAAAATAGTTTGTGTTTGATAGGAAGGGCTTAATTGATTTTCCATGACAATGAAGCAGAAAGCATAGTTTTAATAGGAGTAGAACATGTCAGAGATGTGTTTGTGTGTATGTATACACACCCATTTTATTTTTACCGTGCTCTTTAAGACTAGTTTGTATGTATTCATATGGTACTAATTCATGAGTTAATTCTTATTTATGGATACATATTTTTAAATGGACGCTAACTTAAGATTGCTGGCATGTGTAAGCATTAATTTATGTGAAAAAAATGAAAATTGTAGCAGATGGTTGTTATTGTTCATCAAAATTATATTAATTCCACACTGACGTGAGACTGTTAGCTTTTAGATGTATTTGAAAAGTTAGTCAAGATTCTAAGCTTTTTTCTGGTTTTGAAGCTTATAAATAATCTGGGATCCGTCACCCCAGGCAAGGAGCAGCTTTTCCTTGGGATCATAATGAATAGTGGAATGGCTACCCTGACGTTTTGGAAAATGCAATACTGGTATTTCATATGTATTTGCAGTACCCAAAACATCATATACACATTGTATGCGAGAGGTGCCTCCACTAGGAAAGTTGTACACCACATAGAGTGTGTTGCATGCCATGAAAGCTGCTTCAGCATCCTTGCTGCTGCATGTTGTATCCCAAGTGTGTTCCACTGACATGGTTATGTGGTTGATTTTGGTAATTACAAGGTTTCCTCCAATCTCTGGTTCTGCATGGATTGCCCAGAGCCCTTGCTCATCAACAGCAAAATCTATTTTTGTAGATGGAGAAAGTTGATAGGCAGGAATTCTTCCAGCCCCTGGCAATAGCATATAGTCAACTATATTTCTTTTCTGGATATTGAATTTAATTATTTCATTTAAGGAGCCGTGTCTGTGATAGAAAAGAAAACCCTGGTAAATAATGTGGCCAGTCCCTTCCCAGGGAAATGGCAGGATGACTCTGCGAGCTTTTAGTGTATGATTGCTTTCCATGAAAGTCATGATGTTTGCAAATTCAAAAATAACATTATTCACAGTACCATTTAATAAATAAATCTTTGTGTGCTTCTTGCCCGGATCTTTCATCCAAGAACCATGCTTATCTCCAGTCTTCTTGACTATCTTTAGGGACTTTACACTTGTAAGCATGTAGTCACAACCTGTAAATAAATACCCAAAGGCAAAAAAATCAAGTTAGAATATTTGAATTTTATAGTTTCCCTTCTTTGAATTATTTACTTTCTTTTTAACCAACCTAGATGCCAAGGTGAGTATATCAATAAAAGTGGCATCTATGTGGCCACTGTGAAATATGTGGCTATGCTAAATAGTGCTGAACCTAACTTTATTGTATATTTGACATCTCCTACCAAAGGAACAGCAAACCTTCAGCTACACGTGCTGCTTTATGAGACTGGAGTTACTCAAAAGGCATTCAGTTCATGTACCTGATAGAAAGTTAGTCTGGGTAACATAGTAGTGATTTCCTGATTACTGTCTTCTATTCTCTTATAGGGCTAAAATTTTGACTTCAATTAGATCAGCGCAAGAAAATAATCAAATTTATTTCCTATTGAAAGTACACAGGCTAAAATCTATCCTCCTGATAAGTGATGTGTGTATGTGTATATATGTTTAGGAATTCTCTTATCCTCTGTTAGCTTCTTTTTCTGTTAGCTGGCTGGTGCAGTTCACACCATGGATGGAAGGGCTGCCATCCTGAGGGGCCTGGATAGGCTTTTAAAGTGTGCACATAAGTTCTTAATGACATTTAACAAGGTTAAATACAAGGTGTTACACTTGGGATTGACCTTGAGCCAGATGTGCATACAGGCTGGGAGAAGAACTCACTGAGAACAGGTCTGTCATGAAGAACTTCATCCTGATGGATGAAAAGCTGGACTTCTTACATGGTCTTATAGTAATGTGACAAGGGAGAATGACTAAAAGAGAGGAGGTTAGGTTAGATGTTATAAAGAAATTTCTTAGAGAGTGGTGAAACACTGGAACAGGATGCCCAGAGAAGTTGTGTATGCCCCATATCTGGAGGCATTTCAGGCCCAGATTGGATGGGATCCTGGGTAGCCCAGTCTAGTGGCTGGCAACCCATGGCAGAGGAGGCTGGAACTAGATGATCTTTATGTCCCCTCTAACCTAAGATGTTCTGTGAATTTTTATTTTTTTTTTTTTTATTTTTTTGCTTTAATGATGCGAAGACAAAGAGAACAAATGTAGTTTGTGTTACTGATTCTTATGCTAGAAGCATGACACAGGAATCAAGGATAAAGCAAGTGAGCTTTCAACAAGGAAGGCTAAAGGCCTGCTTGGAATTGTATCATTCAAAGGATGTCAAGGATAATAAACGCTTTTTAAAGTATGTTGATAGAAGAAGGAGGACTATGGAAAATGTATGTGAATGAGGTAGATGCCCAGGTAATGGGGATGTTGAGAAGATGGAGATACTGAATGCCTTCTTTGCTTCAGTCTTTACTACTAACGTTGCTCTTCAAGAGTCCCAGACCCAGAGGTAAGGGAGAGAGTCTGGGGGTTGGACTTCCCTTGGTCCATGTGGATCTAATCAGAGAGCCAAAATCATGGAGTTGCAAATCCGTGAGCCCCATCACTCACATGTGATGAGGGAGCTGGCATAAATGACTGGCAAAACACTCTGTCATCTTTGAAATGTCTTGGAGAATGGAAAAGTCTATGAGGACTGGAGGATAGTCAATGTCACACCAGTCTTCAAACAGGTCAAAGTATGGATCTGGGCAACTACTCCCTGGATGGAGCAACTTGTTCTGAATGCCATCATCAAGCAATTAGAGAAGAAGGTTGTCAGGAGTTAGTCAACATGGATTCACCAAGGGGAAACCATGTTTGACTGACCTGGCAGCTTTCTATAATGTCATCACCAGCAGGGTAGATAGGGGGAGAGCAGTGGATGCTGTGTATCTTGACTTCAGCAAGGTAGCTGACGGTCTACCGCAACATCCTTGTAATGAAGATTAGAAAGTGTGGGATGGATATGAGTGGAGTTGAGAGTGGCTGAGAACTGTGGGTTGAGAACTGGCTGACTGACAGCTCAGAGGGTTGTCATCAGCAGTGCAGACTCTGGTTGGAGGTCTGTAACTAGCAGTGTTCCCCACTGCAACTAGGGTTGGTGCTGGGTCAGGTCTTGTTCAACATCATCTTCAATTACCTAGAGGAAAGGGTAGAGTCTAGCCTTGGTAAGTTTACTGATGATACAAAGCTGGGAGGAGTGTCTGACACTGGGAGGCTGTGCTGCCATTCAGTGAGACCTGGACAAGGCTAGAGAGCTGGGTAGAGAGGAATCTGACGTGGGCTCATCAAGACCAAGGTTCCACAAGGGTCTTGCACCTGAGTCAGGAGGGATAACTGCATGCGTCAGTAAGGTTGGAGGCTGGCCTGCTAGAGAGAAGCTCTGCAGAGAAGAACTTGGGCATCTTGGTGTACAACAGATTGGCAGTGAGCAGGCAGTGTGCTATTATCACTAAGAGGACCACCAGTAGAACAAGGAGCAGTGGGCAGAATTGGAAGAACATAAAGTTCTGCACTAACACAAGGAAGAGCTTCTTTACTGGCAGAGGGACAGAGCCCTGGAATAGGCTGCCCGGAGAGGTTGTGGAGTCTCTTTTCCTGGAGATATTCAAGAACCACCCAGATGCTTGTCTGTGTGACCTACTGTGAGAAACTAGCCTTAGCAGGGGGGTTGGACTTGATGATCTCTAGAGGTCCCTACCAACCCCTACAATTCTGTGATAGTTTTGGCTTTGTTGTGTTTTGTATGCTTTTTGCACAGTTTAAGACCAAGAAGCACTAAGCTTGTGAAGACCTAGGTGTTTAGAATATTTTATTGGGTACTGTCTTTCTGGGGGGAAAAAAATTCTTCTGCAGAGCATATTAACAAGCTTGTTTACCAAAGGCATTCAAATTACATGAGACACTATTTGAAGTTTAACCAATTGCCTTTAATTAAGTGCAGCCATTTTAGTAAACAGAACAAATAAAGCCTTAAGGCAGGAAGTTCTGGCAGCAGATGAAATGGAGAAAGCAAAAAACTGTTCCCTTACTGGCCTGATGTGAACCTATTGAAGTCATTGGCAAGATTCCATTTGCCTTTAGAAATCAAGCATTATGTCATTTGTGTGTACTGATATCCTCTACAAAAGCATTCCTATATTATTGCAGCTAAAGCATTGACTTTTTGCTGGAAGTCCCTTACACTGGTTGCAGTTTTCTCCAGCAATCTACAACAGCTTTCCTGAAACTACTGTTTATTGATTAGATGCATTAAAATAACTAAAATATTGAGTAGGTATTATATCTATACTAGTACTAGTATCTATATCTAGTAGTACTATATCTATAGTACTAGTATCTATACTAGTACTATATCTAGTAGGTATTAGCAATGCACTCCTCATCTACAGGAGAAATACACCAAATAACTGGATTACTGCCTGAAATCTATGAAGGGTTTCTCCTTGTTATCTCAAATTGGCTTTCCTAACATCTTGCTGGATGGAACTAAGGAACTGACAAGCACAATGAGCAGAAAGTACACCAAAAATTTTCCTTATTGTCCACTGATACCTTCCAGGCCTGCTATTAACGAGCTTTATAATATGCAGAAGAGAATTTACCAGTTCCACCCAAAGCAGGGCAAAACAGAATAGGGTGTCAACTACTGAATGTAAAAGTAATCGTTACGTACACATACGTACCTGTGTGTATACATATGTGTATATATAATAGAACAGATATAGTATTCATCTTCAAGTGTATATGAGCTTGAACCAAAGCTAGTTGGTTCAAAGCTATTTTTAACTTTTATTTATTTAAAATTGCCAATCTCGGAGTGCTTCAGCAAAACAAAAAACCCAAACTTCTGGGTCCTGTATGGTAACAGAGACAGAGTTACTGTTGCTGGGGTTGTGACTGTCTTGCTCCTAAGTACTTTAAAATCTACACAGTGAGTAGTTTCCTTGTCAGTGGGGCAAGCATTAACAGAAAGTTACTGTGAACTGCAGCAATAAAATTAAAAGTAATAACATGTAAAAAGGGATTTTTCCTCCTCAGAAACTCTCAGAAAAATGATTTTCCAGGTGTCCTTACCACAGACAACTTAAAATTCTCTAATGTTCAGAAAAACGTACATCTGGAAAGAAAGAAGTCTTGATATTCACATCTCTCAAACACTATAGTAATAGAGTTTAGAAGCAGATTTGGTGGTCACTTCTTTACCATCTCTATTAATGCTCCATTGCTGGAAAAGCCTAAAGAGGTGTGAACTTGTTTGTAAAATTAATTCAGCACATTTCTTTTGAAGCTAGTGGAATTGTATAATTGATGCTAGAGATCTTTCACCTAGCAGCTTAAAAGAATTGTCTATCTCCTGTAGCTGTTCTTGCTACATTTGAACAAAAATGGAACAGACTACATCAACTAGATTATATATTGTGTGTATATCATTAATTAAAATAAAGATGCTTTATAATGATCAAATTTAGTTTGTTTGGGTGCAGTCGTACGTTGCATATATTCTTCATAATGGATACCTTACACTTAACTTTCTAGAATTGAACTTTGCTCGTAGCTAATCCACTGTGCTCTTGATGAAGTACACAGTGGGGGAGATGGATAAAAAAGTAACAGAAGAGGGCAGCAAAATAGAAGGAAAATGTAGTACTGAATTAAGTTTTATTAACTTGAGTTCACTTTTAAAGCTTTGATTTCTTGCCAGTACAAAAAAAAAAAAAAAAGACCAACATTGATTCCTCAGTGCAGTGGAAATGCAGTGGCATTTGCTCAATTGTTGTGGGATTTTGCAAGAACATGGGGTTTTATGTTGTTGTTTTTGTTTTTTGTTCTAATTTTCTAGTAAAAGTTTTCAAGAAGTAAATCTGATATATCATAAGTATATGCAAAATAAATATTTGGACTGTTCTTCCCTATGTCCCCCTCCCACACATATAAAACATCTACACTTTCTTTCGAAGACTAGTATTTACATGTGAAAATCATATTATATTTGGTATTCATGTAACTTGTGAAAATCTGTTATCCCTGCAAGTGAACTGCTCTTACTTGCATTAAGCATGACTTTAAGTTTCCTTTTTTCTTCTGCTTCTTCTAATAGCTGCTGTTTCACGAGGTCTTCATCTACTTCTACGCATGTCTTAGAATCTCTCACAGATCCAAAATAGTCAATGTCCCTCTGTGCTCGTTCAACTCTTGTTAGCAAATTCTCTACTTCATCTTTAACCTCAGTCTTGTAACTGTTCAGTCCTGACAGACGTGACAGTACCAACTTTGCAAAGTCTTGAAATTCTTCAACATAGTCCAGTATGTCTTGGTTGCATTTCTCCAGTCTGTTCTTGAGAAAGAGTATACATAGAAACACATATTCTGTATAGATGTCAGTCTCATTTACTTAATTTCTGCTATCTGCTCTTTTACAGTTCCACCCTCTATTTGAAAACATTGGTCTGTTGCTGCTTATGTGCATGGAGAGTACGAATAGCCAGAGTCTTAAGGACAATGATCTCTGCCTACTTGCTTTCCTGAAACTCTTCCTGTAGGATTACTGGTGAAGCAGTCTTAAAAACTTTTTCTGTAGGAAATCTACAAGCTTGAACATTCCACATAAATAGCCCTCTGCTGACCAGAGTCCTACTTAGCGTGGTTATGGGAAGATGGAAATTCTGTTACAAGGTAGTTTTTTTGGTCAAAGTTCAGGCTGTATTTTTAAAAATAAATAAATAAATAAAAAGTGCAGGATTGGGTGAATTTAGATTTAGCTGTCCATAGAAGACTTATAATTCTGCAAATTTTATGAGGCACTGATATTTTGATATAGTTTAAGGCAAGTACCTGTTTCTGTCTTGCAGCTGCAAGAGGAATATTTCAAATCCTAATTCAAGGATTTGTTCTATACAAATGTATCTTAAATTACTCTCTTGACCAGGTTTATCTTTACACAGAAATTTATTGCGTATTGTTTTCTGTCTCCTTAGTAAGTGACAGCAATTCTAGTGGTAACAGTATGATTATACCATTTCTTCAGATGGACTGACTCCATCTGATGTTTAACTGATGTTAAACACATGCATATCTGGCTAAGTTGCACTGATTGTGTTAAAAACAAGCAAGTGATAATGCTGTAAAATGTAACGCCATGAAATGGTGCAATAAATAATAACTGGGAGTCATTATAGTTAAAAGTTTTGCAACAGTTTTGCTTAACTGTGCTTATTTGGAAAAGCTGGAAACTTATCTTCCTGATAATGATTAGAATACAAACACTTCAGTATTTATCCTCTCTCACCCCCCTCAATGCATTTTCAAATCCATATTTAGGTAGTATCACTAAATGATGTAGGTAGCACATACCTCTAAAGATAGGATACGCTGGTCTATGTAGTTCATCAGTGCTGCATCTTGCATTACATATTGGGCCTCTCCCAGGATGTTTTTGAGGAATGGAACTAATAAAAAATGAAGTCCCACGATGATCATTGCTTAATAAAATCTTGAAGGGAAAAAATATTGAATTATGTTGTACGTAAAGAGAGCAATCCTCACTGCCACTCCAGAATTAAATTGAATAGCTGTCTGATGCCACAACGTGGAAAATAATGAGGCTACAGCTATTAAGAAGACTTAAAATGGCTGTTGCAGTTCAGTTTATCATTTAAAAAAAAAGTTGTGGAGCAGAAACTGAAAGCTGTATTTCTAGAAGCCAGATGACTGCTTTCCAGTTTGTGATCCTATGATCAATCCCAGATGTTCAGTACTGAGTCATATAAAGCCTGTAAGCCAAATTTCATTAAATACAAATAAAAATAATTTCTTTCCCCTCCTTTTTCCTCCCATTTGCCTTCCCATGTAACCAGAACTGTGCAGGATAAACTTGGTGTAAATCAATGCAGCTTCAAAGTCACTGAAATGCTTTTTTTCCTTCATAGGGAGATCTGATGCATAATCATTTATTTCAACAACCATAGTTGTTACTATGAGATAATCTGAAGCCTTTTTTTCACTTCTGGTATTCAGCCTATTTACAGCAGGACTGAAAATCATAAATTGAAAACAAAAATCATTTTCCCTTCTTGTTCCTCTTTTCTCTTGTTTCTGAAACTAAAATCAGTACCCTTAACACAGTTCATTGTCATTATAATAGAGCCCTTTAAAGACCTCTTCTTTTAGAATAATAATTGTCTTTTCAAACTTGCTTAATTTAAAGAAGTATTGCATTTAAGGAATTTTTAAATTTCTTCTTTTTAAAAGCTTTCATTGCTGAGCGCCTTGTCTGGAGAGAGACATGACAAAGCTAATATTGAATTCCTTAGGAAACCACATGTTAGGACTTTAGAAAGGTCCTTTTGTATCTGAAGCCAAACTGGACGTCTCTGTTTCTCTTTCTGAGAAATCTCCACCTCTTCACTTTTTTTTTCCATTTTTATTTCTTTGCAGGTTTTGTTTCTTAAAATTTATGCAGCTTTCCTTTGGCTTCTGGCTGCCCTGTGTTTACATAAGCATGCAAGTGTTGACAGAAAACATTAAAAACTTACCACGATAGGCATATTGAATCTTCATTTCCTTGTTGGTTGCAAGTTACAGTTATATATATTTTACGAGCAGAAATGCATCTTTTTTTTTTTTCTTGTAATTTTGCTTTTTCCCAAGAGGCACAAACAATTTGCCAGTTCACATTTAAAGGCAAATACTTGTTTTTCATCTCAGTGCTATTTCATTATATTGCAGAACTCCTGCTAGGAAAGATAGACAGCTTGCATGTGGGATTCTTGCGAAGAAGTACTTCAGGAAGCGTGTATTCTGCCTTGATTACGTTCTCTAGAACGCCTTGACGAAGCGCACTATCATCTTTTTCACAAACTGATCAGCCTCTGCACTGGGGGAGTACAAACAAAAGAGAGATCTCCTTTCTCACTTCCAGAGTAAATCTGGAATAGGGGCAGATTATCCACAAAGCAAAATATCTTGACTGATAAATGTCCTGTATATGGACATACTAAATATCCTCAAGAGTGCTGCAGAAGGAACTAGATTTTTTTAGTGTTACTTCATCTTGTCTCAGGATTACCAATGTGGCAAGAGACTAGAAGCTTCCAGGGGTTTTTGTTAACAAGATATTGCTGTGCTTGTAAAGATGTTATGTCATGGTAAATGGCAGTGATGGTCTGTGACAGATGAAGTTTTCTTGGAGCATATGCTATGGCTTCTGGTAAAGAACTGGACGTAATTTTTCTTTCAGTTAATGCTTCCCAGTTTTGCTCTGCCTAGAGGTATCACTGGAAAATATATTTATATGTATATTATCTGTATAGGTTAAATATATTTTTGATAACCATTTAAAGCAGGACTGGCTTGGCAGGCCAGGGAAGACTTAGTCTCAATACACAGGATGCTGTACGCTAACAGAGCAGAAAGAGTTTTCTTGTCTCAGGGAATAGTTTTTCTCTTGTAAGTCATTTGTGGAACAGGTTTATTATTACTGTCTGGATTTCCCAGGAAAACTTCTAAAAGGAAACAAGTATGTTGATGTAAGTATATATGCCTTTTTTAATCTTGTCCTTTTTTAATCTTTTCCTTTTTCACTCTGGACAAGATAATATTCTTTTTCTGTCCATGCTGCTGCTTTGCTGCTTTATTTCACCTTCTTGCTGTTTGGTATCTGTCTTTTTGACATCTGTTTGAGGCTTAAAAAAAAAATCTTCAGTTGCTTATCTGCTTGCAGTTGTAATTTCAGATACTGGCTTAACTTTTCTGTGCTTAAAGATTATGCTGGAACCAATTCAGAGTGAATTCTAGATTTGTGAAATAATTGACTAATTTAAGTTGATGCTTTAAGTTAAGCTTTTATATATCATAGCAAAATATGATTGGCTTCAGAAACTGTTTCTGGCATCTCAGTTGAACCAGAGCACTGGCATAGTAAGTTAGGCACTTTGCAGTTACATGAGTCACTGTATGGTACTTGCAAATGCTGTTGCCTGCTCCTCTTGGCTGTAAAGGCAAAGTTCAACACTGAATTCCTATTCTGTCTAGGGTTATTATTTCTATTTCATTACTACTTTGATTTGTATATCTTGAAGACTGGTTCACGTTGCTGTTAAAAATACATAAAATGTAAATGTATGAATTCCACCGGAAGTGGAATCTGTTCTACTATAGAAAGTATCAGGAGTGATGCTGCTGGTATGTGCTACAGCGATGAGGACTTTGAGATTTGGGCTTCCAGTAGGTGGCTCTCAAGCCTTTAGAATTGTAAGGGAAATTTCACTGAAACACACTATTTCTAAAATCTTTCAATGAGATAAAATTTACAGGAAGAAATTTTATTCAGGTGATCTAAAATGACAGAACCGCAAATGGAGAACTATTAGTAAGTCAGATGCTAGTAGGCTTTAGCAATTTGCTGCACTGACAAGTTCTCAAGTCTTTTGGGTATGAGCCTTCTGAAGTGGTGAAAGCCAGCGCCTTGTGGAACTGACAGGAGCTTCAGAAGACCAGTATGGGCAGGAAAAACTGCTAATCCCAGAGGAGTGTTCTAAAAATGAGATCACTAGGGCAAAATAAATCCCTTTTTCCTTTGGAGCTGATTAAATAATCCACAGAATTTGATCTGAACACAGGTCATTAAACAATCTTAAGTTTAAATCAACCATGTATAATTACTTTGAACAGAGTCTTGATTTGTCTGTTGTAAACTTAAGAGTTAACTTGTGTTGACCAGAGATTGTTCTCTGTACTTGGGAAGCTTAAGTTTCTATTACCTCGAAATAAGCAAACTTGGAATTACACACTGTGATGTTAAAACTAATGTTAAGGTTTTCACAGCTTTGGGCTTGCTTCATAGTGCGAATGCTCTCACTGAAGTTTGCTTTTCTTGGATGTTAAATGCCTTAACAGAAGGAGTACAGAAATAGTAAAAATTGCTTCGAATTCGAGTATTTACAGAAAATAATCACAACAGTCATTCAGCAAAGTTCAGCTCAGAATGCACATTGTTCTTGTCTTTCTTGGGTTATATTTATTTTTGTAATTTACTGTAGGCAAGATGCGTAACTTCTGTTTGTTAAAGTCAGATTAAAGCATACCTGCATGAGAACCAGGAAAGATATTTTTAAAAATGTAGATGCATCCAATTTTATTTATTTGTAGGTGTAGTAGGCATCAACATTATGCCACTTCATGGTATCTTAGTGGTATCTCATGGTATCTCCTGCATTTATCACTGCATTGAAGAGATACGTAGGCACGCAGGTTACAAACCCATTGCAAAGAGGGGGGCTCCATATGTACCTGGGAAAACTATTAAAACGAAGTAAGTACCTTTCCATTTGAGAGCACTGCATGTTACTGTCAGAAAAATGTTTACTGATGAGTAACATACTTCTGTATGTTCACTGTACTTCACTGGTGAATGTGAAGAGAATGTGTAACAGAGTGATGTGCTGTGAGACTACAGCAGTGAATTCAGGACTCCTCAGTTATATTGTTCAAAACCGTGTCTTTGTTCCTACGTTAAATTCCCAAGTGATTGCTGATGACATGTTCAGCAATTCTGGTGATAGTTATGGTACCAGAAACTTGAGCTGAAGAAACTTGAGCTGAATACAATGGAGTTGTGCTAGCAAGCGTCTAATTAAATCTAGCCCAAACCTAAAAGATAAGGAAAATGTCTATGAATCCAGGGGAGCTAGGACAGAAAAGGCCCTGAAGGGGCCATGTAGAAGTTGATGGTGATCGCTGAAACTTGTTGCATTATTTTTATATTGCTAATAAAGATGAGTCTGATAAAATAAGAGTTTGAGAAGAAGCTCATTATTTTTGTAGCTAGTTGAAATCCAAGCAGGGGCGAAGCCTATACTCAAGATTGAGTCTTAACAGCAAGAGAGTGTCTATTTTGTAAATCATAGAATCACAGAATGGGCAGGGTTGGAAGGGACCTCAAGGATCATGAATCTCCAACCCCCTGCCACATGCAAGGCGACCAACCACATTCAGTACTAGACCAGGCTGCCCAGTACTCCATCCAACCTGTCCTTGAACACCTCCAGGGACGAGGCATCCACAACCTCTCTGGGCAGCTGTTCCAGCACCTCACCACTCTCTCTGTAAAGAATTTCCCCCTGACATCCAACCCAAATTTCCCCTCCCTCAACTTAAAACCATTTCCCCTTGTCCTGCTGTTATCAACCCTTTGATTCCCCTTTAGGTACTGAAACGCTGCAATGAGGTCACCCTGCAACCTTCTTTTCTCCAGGCTGAACAAGCCCAGCTCCCTCAGCCTGTCCTCATAGGGGAGGTGCTCCAGTCCCCTGATCATCTTTGTGGCTCTCCTCTGGACCCTCTCCAACAGCTCCCAGTCTTTCCTGCACTGGGGGCTCCAGACCTGGACGCAGTACTGCAGATGGGGCCTCACAAGAGCAGAGTAGAGGGGGACAATCACCTCCCTGTCCCTGCTGGCCACCCCTCTTCTGACGGAGCCCAGGATACCATTTGCCTTCCAAGCCCCAAGAGCACACTGCTGGCTCATGTTAAGCTTTTCATCCATCAGGACCCCCAGGTCCTTCTCTGCAGGGCTGCTCTCAAGGACTGCTCTTTCTAGTTTTTATAGATGCCTGGGATTCCTCCAGC